TGGAAACGCTCAGGCCCCAGCTGGGAGGTGCTGGAGGGCTGGCTGGACAGGGAGAAGTGTTGGATCTGCCAGAGGAACAATTCTGCAGGAGGTTATTTACATGTTCTGTAGGAACAGAGTCCATTTTCCCCCATGCATGGCAGTGTAGCCAGGACAGAACCCCAGAGTGAGCAGGAAAAGTTTTCACAGACCAAGCAGATGAGATATTCATGTCAAGGACAAGCACAGCCCGGTGTAACCAGGCTCCCCAGCAGGTCACATAAACCATCTAAGTGACAAATTTCATTTATGGCTCCTTGTTCTTACTACACCTGCAAAATCCAGATACAGCGCTTCTTAACTAGGAGATAAGTACCATTAATTACCTGCAGGCCCGAGGATATCTCCTTTCACTGCTCACCCACTCCCAAGTGCTTTGATAAACCCCGAGTTCCCTCTTGCAGGGAGAGGGATCCTATCTGCAAAGTGTTAATAGTCTAAAGCCACTTTCAAAATAGCATCTACCAGCTGATAAGTTTATCCTATCTCTCAGCACTTCACAAACAGCAGCTCCAAACATTTTTCCCTGACCAATTTATCAAGATTTATATCAGATTTGGGTTCTCTGCTCCAGCTTGACTTGCCCAATATTTCAGCATTCTGTAATCAAACCCCAAGAGGCCCATGACTCCTGGGCATGACATCTTCTGCTTTTCAAGATGCTCCTGTGCTATGAAATAAAGTAACAGTGCCAGGCAATAAGCAGGAAGAGAATATTTCAAGAATACAAGAGAAATAATTAAAACTCAGCAATTTATTTGGGAACACATATGTGCTTTTGTTGGTAGGAGAATGTCATCCATGCCTTTTTTAATCTTGGGATGCACTGATGTATTGAGACACTTTGTGCTTTTCAGTGCCCTGCATTTCCATCCATTTCCTTCCCTCAAGTGGGGCAGGCTTTCCAATGGATTGTCACCATTTAGTAATTACAAATATAAATGTCACTGCTGTCAAATAATATAACACACCTCACGCATCAGGACACAAGCTGTTTAAAATCGAGCTATTATAGCAAAGCCACCGCTGTGTGAACACGCCTTGATTAAATTCATAGACATTAATCATTTTAAATAAAAACTGAATTTTGTCAAGGCAGCAATGAACTTTCCAGAAGATATAGGGGTGAACTGATGTTTCCAGAAGGCACTGTTCCTCCAGGCATTGCTTTAACACTGGAGCACAGTTGGAGTACATAATGCATAGCTGCAAAAAGCAGTTTTTAAGGGCGAGTTCCATGAAGCAATTTGGGACCACAAAACCCCTGGAAGCTGCAACCCTCAGCATATGGCAACTGCTCACCTGAGCACCAGCAGAGCCACCACAATCTGGAGTGCTGTCTGCACAGGCACAGCCCCAGCGAGCCGAGACCAGGGTCCGGGGTAATTGGTTTTGCCACGCTGTCAATCCCACCCCCAGGAAGAGATTTCCCTGCCAGCCTGCTCGGTGCCAAGGCACTTTCTATTTTCCAGACTGTCAGTCTCAAATCCTATCAGATTTCAGGCTGCAGAAGATAGATTATCTGGGCAGCATTATGACAGATGCACTGCTGAGGATGTCCACTTACTCAGAGAGAAAAGGGAAAAATTCTCCCCCTGCTCCTTTTCTGTCCGTGTCAGACCCATCTGCCATCCACTGCTGGGTTCATCTTTGTCACGCCTGGAAATGACAGCTCCACCAAAGGGTCTGCACATGCATTAATTAGGCAGAAATGTCGTTTGATGGGAAGATTTAGTTTCTTTATCTTCCCAGAGAAGGGATATCCTGGGAAAGCAATCTATGATTATTCCCCTATATATTAAAGAAGTTATTCTGCATAGGGATCAAATTGCAGTTGCAGAGTGGAGCAGCCACTTGGCACAATGATAGATTGCTGTATCAGTCATACCTGTGAACCTTACTTACAGAAGCACCACCAAAATATTTGAGCTGGCAGCTGTTCCATTGTGAGAGCAAATATAGCTAAAAAGGTTTTCTGTTTTGCAGAATCTCCAACTCTCTTTTTTTTAAGGGAAATGCATGTGCAAATCACATCTCTCCTCACTGCCATCCAGCTCCTGCCCATCCCTTTTGATGAAGGGTCTCTTAAGTATGGAGCATGTGCTAAAATACGTAATGTTGCTGTCACTATTCAGTCTACTTATGAGAGTTCAGCTCTGAGATCAAGAGCAGATGAAAGAGGAGAGAAATCTCATTTAGGGTCAGATAATGCTCAGCCCCAGCTTGCTGCATGTCCAGCCAAGTTTCTTATTCCATCACTGAGTCACCTTGCTGGTTTCCCAGGTGGGACTGAGCCCTGCCCAGTTTGGGGTGAGCAGACACTGGTGCCAGCTACAGGGACAGCAGAAGACCCCCAGGGCCACATGAGAACTGTAGCAGCAAACCAGCATCAGACCAGGCTCAGAGACCCTTCAATTTCGAATGCAAGGAGAGCTCAGTGCCCTCACATGAGCTGAGCACAGCCAATACACAGCCCTGTGCTGCTCCCTCCATCACCCAGCTACAGCTGTACGTGCAGCTGCACAGCAAAAGCAGACTGAGGAACTGATCTGGGCTAAAAAAAGAGGCAACTCCTTGTAAATGAACTCTTAAATTTAGCTTCAGCATTTGCAGCAAAACTCTGCTTGACTGAGGCTGGTGTGCTGGGAGCGAGATGCCTCCTGGCATGGATCACCCACCCCAGCACGCTCAGCTCTTCCCTGGAGATGTGGGATTTCTCTGCTGCCCCAGGACACATCAGCATCATGTACCACAGAGCCTGTGGTGCCCAGCAGCACCTTGCTGTCCCTGGGCTGTCCCCACCAGACAGACAAGATGCATTGCAAGGATGCTCACCTGACTTGAGGTACCAGGCAGCATTATCACACAGTAAAGCCCCTAAATTTTGGGGTTTGCTACTTTTTATAAGCTGAAACATGCATGCATATGTTGCATTTCATTGTTGCCAAAAAGAATCAGACAGGTAAAACACAAAAAGCTAAAGTTTGTTGTAAATGCAAAAGCTAGACCCCATAGCCCTTGCCCTTCTATCCCTCAAGCCAAGTCAAGCCCATTAACCAGCTCTGCCACTCTTCCACATATAAATGTATAACAGAAGGAAAACTGTGCCAGGATACAGAACATATTTGCCACCCACCAGAGCCAGCACTGCACTTTACACCAGAAAAATCTCTGCTGGGCAGTCACTTCAAACTCGGGTCGACATTTGTCTCCCCCAGCATCAAGTGAAGCAGCTCTACTGAAAACAGCTTGCACTACCCCCTCTACCTCAACTTGCTGCCTGAAAGACCAGAGAAGCTCACCACACAAAAGGAGGTTTAGCTTTCTCACTTGCTTTGCCTGAATACAAGCCCTCTGCTGCCCCTCCACACCCCTCAACAAGAGACTGAGCCTCAGACAAAAGCAGAGTTTCCAACCCAAGAGAAACCAGAGCAGACACCCCCTCAGCTTTCCATCCAGGCTCCCAAGGAGTTCCATTTCCCACAGCCATGCTCTTCCTTTCCAAAGGCACCTCATCCTCCAAACCACCCTGTCCTGAGCTGGAGAAGAATCTTTTATACTCACGGCCCTTAATGATTTGTCAAATGGTCTGGATTCAGTGCACCAAAAAAACTCATCTTCCCCACCTGAAAGCTTTTACCCCACTATCCTGGATTGCCCTGTGAGGAATGTGTGAGTTTTGTACAAAACATTTGTGTTCCTTCACAGGGGACAGAAAAGAGGTCAACCTAGAGGAAAGGGATGGCACAAATGGAAAAGTTTTGTATTCTCAGATTTCTTTTTTTTTCTTTATGAATAAAGAAAACCTTTTCTATGCAGAAGTGTAAAAGTGTTAGGTGCCAAATCAGAAACAAAGCACACAAAGAGTCTTGCTCTGCTCTCCAGCAGTGGAAAAATAAAGTACCCCTGGACTCTTTGTCTCATAAATCACTGGCACAATTGTCCTGTGCAAAAAGCTCCCAGCCAGGTTTGGGGTGGCAGGAAGGGCAGGGCTTGGTGTTGTCACCCAGTGCAGTGGCCAGCAGGGTGGGTTTGCAGCCACAACATGTGAGAATGAAGCCTCAGACTCTGGTGTGCTGTCCTGTCCTTCACTTTTCTGCCTGTTTTTAGTACAGAGCATTAAATTCTTTGCCTTGGCTTCAGAAGCAAGAGCAGATCCCCGGCACTACACACCTGAGAGCACTGGCTGCTGGGTACAGTGTGACATCCCCTGCTCTAATCCACCCATCATGAATGAAATTCAGAGTAACAGCTGTGCTCTACAGTCAAAGGGAACCTTCTTGTGGACCATTGCAGAAACGATTCTCTGCAAAACATGTTTTTTCTTTGCACATGCAGAAGATGAGCTCACTCAGACCACACAGGAGCCCCGACACCCCGGCGTGTGGCCAGCTCGGGGCAGCGGGGTGGGATGCGTGCTCAGCGTGGATGTGCACCTGGATTCTGCCTCCCATGGCAATGCAGGGAGCACAGCATCCTGCTCAGCTCCGTGACCCCTGGAGCAAGAGCAGGAGGAGGGAGCAGTGTGGGGCTCCAGGAGGTACCAAAGCAGTTTTGCTGAAGCCACGGCCGCACACGGCGCGTTAGCGATGGCACAGCACAGACCTGAGCTCCGACCTCCACCAACACCGGCCTTCTGATCGGAATCTGAAACCCTTTAAAAACCCCTTTCACACACCTCAATTATTTTAACCACTTAACCATCACATCCCAGTATTGATTTGAGCACATACAAATTATTTAAGTCAATTGCCTATTAAAATTCATTTTTGGTGAAAGGTCAAACCTGCAAATTGAAACCAGATGCAGTACATTATGCCTATCAGTACTGTGATCTGCACACAAGTTCATTATAATGTTTCTGCAGAAGTCATTTCTCTTGTCAAATTTTGCTCTGTATGCCACTGTGGCTATTAGAAGCCTCAAATAAAGATATGTAAAAAAGCATTAGACTTACCCACCTTATAGCACCTTAAATGCTGCTCCTGAAATTCAGAGAGAAAGGAAAATTAATCCATTTTTTAGTTGGAAGTGCATTTTATTCAGTTACAGAAGATCTGAGGAGCTTTTAGACTCCCTGCAGTGAGTAACAGTGACAAGTAGCACCCTCCCCCTGAAGCCACCAGCAACATCCCTGCATCCAGGACTGTGTTGTTTGTAAAGTGCAGTGACTTCTGGGCAGCTCTAAATCCACTTGAAGTCCATCAAGAGAAAAAGGCCACAGGAATGGCCTCTCTGTGTCACCTTGAAGCCTCCATCAGCTCCTGATGAAAGGCAGCAGAAGTACAGCAAACCTCACAGCAGCTTCTAAGTGTTTACACTGCTCTCCTCCTCAGCAGCCAGAGCTGGGAAATCCCAGCCTGACTTGATTTGGGTTGCATGTGGTTTTAAGTTCCTAGAAAAATAAAGGCCAGTTGCTCGTGTCTTGCTCTGCTACTGCTTGCATGAGCCTTGCCCCAACACACACTGCTCTTTGTGCCTTTCTTGATGTACAACAGCTTATGCAGCAGAGGGGGAGCTGGAACACAGAGGGGAATGTGGCATTTTCTCCCAGAGTCTCAGAAGTGTTTTGTTTTCCTTGAGAGTGACTCTGTAACTGCTGTCCCAGGAGAAAAATTAGTTTTCTTCCAAAGTAAAGAATTTGAAAGGAAAGCTGCTATTCCAGTGGGAAAATGATGGCCTTCCTCTTGGGAAAGCTGAAAACAAACCAAAATGGAAATTTTCATTTCATTTTAAAATGCCAGCTTGAAATAGGGCATTTACATTTCTGCCCTCCAATAGCTGTCATGTTTTTCCCATTAAGATGTTTGTAAAAAGATTGTGTGTTGGTAGAAGGAGGGGATGTTTGATACTTCTGATAGGGAAAGCTGATCTCTGACCATCTCTAAACATCTGAAAGTGTTTTGAGCTCTTTGCAGCCTACACTGACATTTCAGAGTGTTGAAAGTTGCACAGATCAAGTCAACAAATTTCAAGCATCTTATGAGTAATTAAGTTCATAGAACCTCCCCTAGCCCAGGAAATCACTTCACTCGCACATTACACCAAAACAGACCAAGGCTGTACTTTAATTACTGCTTCTTCCTTAGTTCTTCCAAGAGTTCCTAACAACTCTTTAAGACAATCACCAGGGAAATGGAACAGAAGAGCCAAGAGAAGAGGAGCTGTTCTCAGTGCCAAGCACATTCAGCAGTTCAGCAGACACACACAGACACATCTTTTCTTTGCCAAAAATTAAAACTTCTCTTCTTAAAGTTCTCATTATTTTCTTGTAAAAATATTTTTCAGTGGAGCTCTGTGAAATCTGTCCTATTTCCTTATACTGTATTTGCTGGAACAAGAAGCCTGCAAGTCCCCAGCGGGTCACCCCAGAAGTCAATGCCTTAGGATTTTAGCTTTTGTATTTTTCAAATCCTGTACTGCTTTAGGGTATAACTCTAAAATCCATATAGAGTGTTAGTTAACTGTCTCCACATTTTGGTCAGACAAAACAATCCCTCTAGGCCTGATCCTGATCAAAGTGAGTGGGAGCTTGTGGGTGTCCCAGGGAGGGGGCATGGCTGGGTGCAGCCAGAGCAGATGTCTCTCTGCTCATGGGAAATGAGGTGTCTCCTTCCCTGAAACTGGCATCGTTGTGTGAGCAACCACACAAAAGGGGCCGAGGATGGGGAAAGGCATCAAAAGCAAGAGTCCTGTTTGAGGAGACACAGTGGTGGTCCTGCTTGGGCTGGGCTTAACTCATCTCTCTCTAAAGTTACCTGAAGATGACTCTGTGGACACAGCCCCCCTGGGAAGGGCCAGTGGAAGGGATCAAGCTGCAGTCTCAGAGCCCATCACGCTCTCAGCTCAGCAGCAGAGGTGGTCTGCAGGCAGGGCAGGGCCTCTCTTGCAGCAGGAATTGTGACACAGGCACAATCCTGCTGGGAAGAGAGTGCTGTGGCCAGGCCAGCAGCACTGGCAGATGGTGAGGATCTTGCATCTCAGCAGAAGCTGCAGGGCTCTCTCAGGAGGAGGGGAGGCTGGACACCTGCTCTTCCCATCACACATGGCTCTGTGCAAGCAAAGGGATGATCCACGTGCAGGACACGTGCTGCCCAGGGTGTCCCAGCTGTGGCCGCTGAGCCCATGGCAAGAGTTCTGCAGGGCCATGGCTTTTGGAGGTCCCCAGTGGGGTTTGAAACTGCTCCATTTAGTCAGAAGAAATCATGGCAAGGGCCAGTGCTGTGGGGCTATGTAATCGAGGAGTTAAATAACAAATTCCAGTATCATCTCTCCACCTCCCTTCCTCACTTTCTTGGAAAAAGGATGAGATAAGTAAGAATGCAGCTCTGGGCAGGACTTCACAGTCCATGGCAGGCAGGTATGGGCTCTCTGAACACAATTCACAGAGGGGAGGCATCTCAGAGCAGCTTCCAAATGACCATCAAGGAGTTCTCACAATTTGGCTGAGCTCATCCCAGTACCTGTGTGAGGCAGTCCCCGGGCAGGATGCACAGCTGATGCAGAACTGATGCTACACTTGATCTCAGCTGAAAGGCCATTACAGAGAAATCAGAAGAGACTGGCTAAAAGCAATTTATGGGGTTACAAAATGATGTATTACATGCACCGTGGCTCCAGGTTTGCAGTAATTTAGGCTGGTATTGATTGAGGAGAGACTGGGGCATATTCCACCACCTTTTTAATTTCAGTCTGATTTGGCCACTACTTGCAGGTCAGCAGGCAATTTGATGAGACAAAAACAAACGAAGCATTAGAGAAGCCTAAATCACAGGCTTTTAGAAGTACCTTGTAAATAACTTTTAAGGCTGAACAAGGAGAACAAAATGAAAGAATTGGCTATTAAGGAAATCAAGACTGAAGTTTCAGGCTCAGAAAAATGGTTTCATGGCACAGCTACGAAAGAATATCACTCACACCTACCATCATTGCCTGCCTGCATTTTCCCAAACAAATATCCTGTCTTTTCCCTCATATTACGGTGCTAATTCTGACTCAATGTGTACTGATTAAATTATATCAAAATAAAGCCAAAGTTCATACAGTTTCTTACAGAGGCCTCTAATGATATTATTCCAACAATGAGATGGATGACTTGGTAGAATTCCAGATTATTCAAACCGTGTAAAGGTGGAGTAGTGTCTCTGAACTCCAAGGAAAGGGACAGGCTGTAAATCCTAGTGTAAAACTCCTGTAAGGGTAAACCTGAGCTATTTTTCTCCTGGAGGTAGTGGTTACAGTATTAGTACATGGAAGGGCACCCATCAGTACATGAGGTGGGGAAATTGCCCAGTGACTTCCATCAGGGAAGAAAACTTGTCACATACCATGTGATATTAAGGAGAAAAAGCACAGGCAGAGGAAGTGGGAGGAAAATGTTATTTAATTCTCCATTATTTCTTTTTTATGCTAGGGTTGAAGTGGTCCCCTCCTCACAAAATTGCATTAAAGTTTATGAAATCCCAGATCCTTTTCCTTTTCCCTCCTAGGAATGTGCCCTGTAACTTACCAGGCACACAGAGTGAGAGGGTGGTGAAGGAGGCACATGGTAAAAGGGAGAATTGTTCCAAACCACAGAATGTATCCAGCTGCAATTGCCTGAATTCAGCCCTGAGCTCACCTCTGCTGTGTTTGCATATTGATGTTGTGCAGGACATGGGCAAAGGTCTAAGCAAAGCAGATCGATTATGTCACTTACACCAGCCATCAGGTGTGGATATAAATGGATTTTCTGAGTCTGCTGTGACTATCAAAAGCTTGAACTCTGATGTGCACAGGTAAAGAGAGACACAGGAATCTCTGATTGGAGTAATTAGCACTTTCCTGCAGAAGGCTTCTCTGATCTCTAATTGCATGTTCATTTCAGTCTTTTAATAGTGCACTTGTGAGGCGCTTTTCCACTTGCTGCAGGTAAAGGGAGACATGACCTCGCATTGCACGTGCTGATAGAGCAGATGTGATGTCCAGACTTGCTGAAGCTTGGGAGGGAGCTGGAAAAATCTCTGAATTTACTTCAAACCAAGCAACTTCTGAGGACCCAGTTCTTTATTTCTGGCTAGCAGGGAGTTTGTTCAAATGGCATCCCAGGCAGCATGGAGTCCCACTTCATGGTCTATCTCATAATAAAATCAAGTTGAGTGGTGTGAGGAAGGATAGCATCTCCATCCATGGGCCTGTGGGAAATGATAACCTGCTCCCAAATATATACAAGTGTTGGGAAGGCCAGTCAGACTCAAATGGACTCTCACAGACAACACAGAAAGTGCAGAGCTCAGCTGCCATTGAACCTGATTCCACCCTTCTAATAATTCATTCACAACCAAATGAAACCACCTGAGCATCTTCTTCTTCTGTCTCAATTCCACAAGTCAAACACCTCAAAAGTTATTGGCAGTTTTAATTAAAACTAGCTTTGAGACACAGAGCAACCTATAATGGTTATGGCTTATTCTAGATAATACTGTAATAACCCTCTCTCATATTAAATATAGCAGCAATATTGTTCACCAGAGATGAGGACATTAGCACAAATAATCAGCCTCACTGTTGGGGGAGGGCACTGAAGCCAAGAGGGGTGTCTAAAATGATTGCATAAAACACATTTGCTCCTGAAAAAGAGACACCCTGCAGCTCCCTGGCCTCATCAGCATCCTTCCCAGAAGCCCCTGAATTTCCAGAAGATTTAGTTCAAACCCCCCATACCATCTCAGCAATGTGCTGCCAGTGGGAGGCCACTTCCAGGTTCCTGCCCCTGCCTGGGCACTGGCTGCATTGTCTCATTCACAGGAGCCACTTGTCACCAGGGTGTAGCAGGGAGGGCTGTGGGCTCAGTGACTGCAGGGGTGGTCACAATTTCAGCCCCATTCAGCTTTTCTGGCCCTGGGCTGTGCCCGAGGGGCTGCAGCAAACGCAGGGCTGGGCTCAGAGAGCTCTGATGTGGAGACACACAGAGTGATGGCTGTGCTGCTGCATCTCAGAGCTGCTGTGGTGCTCCAGCAAAGGGGCTGGGGCTGCAGAGAGCCATGGCAGATTGTCACACCCTTCTTCTGAAGCTGTGAAGCCAAATGGCTCTGCAAAGGCAGCCCTGATGCAATGCCTGGGGGACACATGGAGGCACCTGCCTTCTGCTCACCTGCAAATCCTCAGCATGGCTGCAGTTAACTGAAGTTCCCTCCTGTTGATTTAAACAGGATTTTTTTTATTTTTGTTTTTTCTATGGTGTAAATCCACTGAAGTCAGCTCATTCAAGGAAGCCACACAAGGAGTGAACCTGGCCTGGGGCAGTTTGTGTCACAAACTCAGGTGTACATTGAATTTTCCCCGTGGCCCTTGCAGCCGCAGCACAGCGCAGTTTTAAGGGGCAGTGGGAAATTTAATTGTTTCTTCACATGCATGACAGCCAAATCTTCAGTGCATTTTCTAGAGAGATACCTAGGATTCATCTGAAAATCTCAAGACATTGTGATTTGATTTGATTTGATTTGATTTGATTTGATTTGATTTGATTTGATTTGAAGGAGGCCTTTGGGGACAGTGAAAACAGTCCATTTGAGGAAACTAGTTGAGTATGTGAGGAAAAGGCACCCAAAATCATTATTTTCTTTTGCAAACACATCTCTTCTTTCCTACAGTACTGAGGATATGCATGAAAACACTGAAACAAGTTTTGCTCAAAAGACCATTTCAGTGAAAAGGATTGTCATTTTTTAAACTAATGAAACAAAATGCAGCAGTATTTCTCCTTTGAGAAAAATAAAAAAAAAAAAGAAACCTTCTTCCTAACTGTTCTTCTTCCTTTTTCACCCTGTGTGTGTAATTAGATAGTAAAGACAAGTGAAAAAACACTGGGGTTGTATTAAAAATCTGAAAACCACTGGTTTTTTTACAAACTTCTTGGGGAAATGTTTAGCTTTCTGACATATGATACAAACCTTACTTATAGAACCATAAGCTCCTGCTAACTTGAAATCCCTTACATATGAAATGCACTTCAGTGGCCATTCTGCTCAGGAACAGTTCATCCTTGGGAAAATATTATTGCTGGAATGCTACGTGAGTCCACAGCTTAGAGCTGGAGGATGCATTTAAATTCTCTAAAGAGGCTTTAGGAATTCATAACAGCACTTGATCTACCTTTGGGGGAGGGAATATGAGGGGTTTTGTGCTGCAGCAGCTGAAAACATTAATTGGCTGATCTTTTCACCAACAATTCATTGTATTTCATTACGTGCCTTTTATGTGTCTGTTGTGTTGCCCCAGTGCCTTGCTAAATATTTCCTAGCTGCAGCATGGCATCTTTGAAAGAGGGAGAGGGGCTCCAGCCACTGCTCTGTTCCCAGAGAATGAAAGCAAAGTCAAAATTAAATGAGAAAACAACTGTCACCACAATGATAATCAAACTGCAGGCTGCATTAGCATTTTTCCTCCAGAAGCTCTGGTATGAGGCAACAAGATGCATGTCTTTCCACAATATAATTATGCTGTAATGAGACTGTCTTAATGTGTTCAGAAAGAAAAACTGCTGTTAAGGCTGACTGAATGGAAGTACAAAAGCAGAACAGGTAGCCTAGATGGCAGCTAGGCTTTATAATTTCTTCCCCAGTCTGGAAGATTAGGATTAGTGTGATCATAGCGAGATGCAAGTGCAAAATCCAGATCTGGATTTCAGGTTTTCCCTCACAAGGTGGAGAATATACAGAGTAAGGCTTCTGATTCAGATTCATTTTGTAAAGGAAATGTGTAAGTCTCTATCTGTTCACTCTGGTTCCAATAAGTAAATAACTTCAGCCTCTCTGATCCCTGAGGAATGATGATTTACAACACTGGTAATGTGCACTGAAGAA